AAAGTCCAGTTTGTCTGATATAAGTATCGCTACTCCGGCTTTCTTTTGATTTCCTGTAGCATGATATATATTTCTCCATCCCCTTACTTTTAATCTGAAGGTATCTTCCCGTCTAAAATGAGTTTCTTGTAGACAGCATATTGATGGATTTTGTTTTTTAATCCATTCTGCTACCCTATGTCTTTTGATTGGAGCATTCAGCCCATTTACATTCAGTGTTATTATTGAAATATGTGGGTTTAGAGTCTTTGTATCTTTTGTAGGGTTCATGTTTGTGGTGGTGTCTCTGGTATCTTTGTTCCTTGCAACCTTTCCTTCAGAGCATCCCCCTCAGGATTTCTTGTAGGGCTGGCTTCGTGGTGACAAATTCTTTCAATTTCTGTTTATTTGGAAAGGTTTTTATCTCTCCTTCTATTTTGAATGACAGGCTTGCTGGATAGAGGATTCTTGGCTGCATATTTTTACTGTTCATCACATTGAAGATTTCCTGCCATTCCTTTCTAGCCTGCCAAGTTTCAGTAGATAGGTCTGTCACCACTCTGATAGGTTTCCCTTTGTATGTTAGGGCCCTTTTCTCCCTAGCTGCTTTCAAAATTCTCTCTTTGTCCTTGTATTTGGCCATTTTTACTATGATATGTCGTGCAGAAGATCGATTCAAGTTACGTCTGAGGGGAGTCCTCTGAGCCTCTTGTATTTCCACATTTACTTCCTTCCCCAGGTCGGGGAAGTTCTCTGCTATAATTTGTTCCAGGACTCCTTCAGCACCTTTCCCTCTCTCTTCCTCTTCTGGGATTCCTATGATACGGATATTGTTGCGTTTGACCGTATCGCTGAGCTCTCGAATTCTTCTTTCCTGTTCCTGGATCAGTTTGTCTCTTTTTTTGTCAGCTTCTTGTTTTTCTATAATGGTGTCTTCTAAATCACTTATTCTCCTTTCTGCCTCTTCAATCCGTGCATTGGAGGCCTCTAATTTATTATGGATCTCATTTATCGCATTTTTTAATTCTTCATGCCTATTTTTATTTTCCATTCTGTCTGTAGCCATAGTTTCTTTGATGTCCCCTATGTTTTTTTCAAGCCCAGCTATTAATTTTACCATTATTATTCTAAAATCTTGTTCAGTGATGCTGCTGATATCTGTTTTGAGCAGTTCATTAGCTGTCATTTCTTCTTGGAGTTTCTTTGGAGGAGAGCTCTTTCGTTTCGTCATTTTAGTTAGCTTTCCGGCTCTTGTTGGTTTTAAAGACCTGTTATGCTCTCTGTATCTATGAGCGCTGCTATATCCAAGAAGACTCTTTGACTGTTCAGGGCCAGGAATAAGCCAAGTTTTAGATGGTTTATGAACTTGATGGCTGAAGCCTTAAATCAGCTGATTAAAAAACCCCGGGTCTTCATTTCCTGAGCTTCTGTCCCACAGATATGTATAAAATCTTCCACATCCTGCCTTCCAAGTAAATCACAAGTTTCCTGCAGTTTGTTGTTAATTATACTGTCCTGTAGAACTATTTTGATAGATTATAAAACTTTCATCCTCATTTAGATCCAATTAGTAGATATCTATTGAGTGCTTACCCTGTGCAAGTAATTGTGTTGGGTATTGGGTGTTGCTGGGGTTTCAGTGATGCCTAAGACATATTCTTGTCTCTAGCTCAGTAGGGATCTGAGCCATGAACAGAAATTCATTAATTACTGACTCACTCATCAAATATTTAATGATATCCCAAATGTGCCAAATCCTGGATATACATTAGTTTCTGCGCTGGTGGAGCTTACAGTCTAGTTGGAGAGATACAAAACCCAAGTACCTAAACAGATTCATAATCACAAATGGTATTGCTTATTATAAAGAAAAAAGAGGGGTGCCTGGGTGGCTCAGTCGGTTAAGCGTCCGACTTCAGCTCAGGTCATGGTCTCACGGTTCGTGGGTTCGAGCCCCACGTTGGGCTCTGTGCTGACAGCTAGCTCAGAGCCTGGAGCCTGTCTTCAGATTCTGTGTCTCCGTCTCTCTCTGACCCTCTCCTGCTCACGTTCTCTCTCTCTCTCTCTCTCTCTCTCAAAAATAAATAAAACATTAAAAAGAAAAAGAAAAAAGAAATTGGCACAGTGATGATCTGAAGCAGGGGATGGTGGAGCGATCTACTTAGGTAGGGTAGTTAGGGAAGGCCTCTCAAAGGTGATGGCATTGGAGTAGAGCTCTGAACAATGGGGAGTTAGCTATGTGGAGACAGAGAAAGAGGGCTCTAGTCAAGGGACACTAGCCTGTTCAGGGGCTCTAACTTGGGAAAGAACTTAGCTGGTTGGGAAAGACCTAATAGAGGCTGGTATGGCCTAAGGTCAAATGAGGGGAGTGTAACCCCAGGTGAGACTGGGGAGGGAAGGGGCCAAGTCAGGCAGGGCCTATGACCCAATTTATCATCTTCAAAGTTAATCCATTCTAGGTGAGGCAGGGCAAGAGAAGTTAGGGACTGGTTGGGAGGCTCTTGAAGTCATTCAGGAGACAAACAATGGCAAGTATGGACAGAAATGGATGGATTCAAGATATATTTTGGAGGAAGAAACAGCAGGACTTGTTTGATGATTGGACTTGGATTCCCAGGCAGTGAAGGTGAGGAAGGAATCAAATGACTTCCAGATATCTAATGTGACCAGCTGACGAGGAGTGGTACACTTACTGAGATGGGGAAAACTGGAAGAATGGGGGTTGGGGAAAATGGAGAGTTGTTCATGGGTATAAAGTTTTGGGTATGCGAGATGAGTAAGTTCTCCAGATCTTGTACAACATTGTGTCTGCAGTTAATAATACTGTATTGATGGGGCGTTTGGGTGGCTTAGTAGGTTAAGCGTCCGACTTTGGCTCAGGTCATGATCTCATGGTGTGTGGTTTTGAGCCCTATGTCGGGCTCTGTGCTGACAGCTAGCTCAGAGCCTGGAGCCTGTTTCGGATTCTGTGTCTCCCTCTCTCTCTGACTCTCCCCTGCTCACACTCTCTCAGAAATAAATAAAACATTAAAAAAAACAACACCACTGTGTTGAGCATTTAAAGATTTAAGAAAGTAGATCTCATGTTAACTCTTCTTATCATGGTAAAATAAGTGAATGAATGGATGGATGGATGGATAAATGAATGAATATATAAATAAAAACATGTCTTAAAAATGGGATTTTGGTATATGCTTATCTATCTACTGATTATTCATTAACTAGCAGATTAGCTAGAGTTCAATTTCAAACATCCAGGTGGACATCCAGGTGGATCATATAAGAGAAGGGGACCAAAGACGAGAGGAACCAGAAGAGGAAGCACTTCTGCCTGGAGGATTTAGGAAAGTCTTATAGGAAACATGGCAGTTGAATGAGTCTTAAAGGACTGCTTGAAGTTTTTAATAATATAACTTGGTTAGTGAAGAGTAGCAACTCCCTCACTCTGATCACCATGATGCCGTGATGTCCTTCTACTCCTCCTTTTACAAACTCTCAGAAAAGTTTACATCTTTCCAGTCACTTTAGGTATCAGTCCTTGGTCCGGTTTGGGTCATCCTATCTCAGCGAGGAGTCCATTCTCCCTGCTTTCTCATAAATTGTTACAACTGCTCCTTCCTGAACATTACAGGATATAGATTTCCTTCCATAGGAAGAATGTCCTGTTGGTGCTATTTCCAAAGTTGCTCTCTGAGGCCACCATCACCAGGTGCTGCCCCAGGAATTCTGTCTCAAGGGAGGGGTGGAGCAAGGAGACTTTAAATTATTTTCCTTGATTTTACTTATACTTTGGTCCTTGTATTTCATTTTTTTTGTGCCAAACTGATAATTATTTAAAAAAAAAATCTCTTTGAGAGTTGGCCCTGGATCTGCTGGTTTACAAGCTGTGTGACCTTGGGCAAGTTTCTTACCTCTCTGAATCACAGTTGGTTCATCTGTTGAATGGGCATGATATTATCCTCCTCATAGTACTGTTGTGAAGCGAAATGAGGTGATGTGAATAGCAAGCCTGGTACATGATGGATACTCAACAATTATCCTTCCTTTCCTATAATACTGCTTTATTAATGAATTATTAAATAAATAATATAGGTGGATTCTCCCACAAAATACCCATACCACAGGGTTTGCCCTGACAGAGTCTAGCAGACCACACCACATACTTCCTGTTGAAAAGTTCTCTTGAATCTGTTTATCAGGGTTACTTCCTACTTGTGGGAGAAAGTAGAAGATAATTGTACAGCTGAATTCTATAAATAAAAATAGTTAGAAAAGATGATATTTTTAGATTTATTTGATTTTTTAAAAACCCAATGTAGCCTTATAAAGACTAGGACTAAAAGCACCTCTCAACTTCATACTTGGAACTAGATCTTTGACAGAATTATACTCATTATCAACAATGAACAGATTGAGAATTCTGAATTGCTTTTTTTTTTTTTTTTTGGCCTAGAGGTGTACTGGGCCCAATGAGCTACAAGTCACAGATGGCAGAGCCTAGTTATCCAGTAGAAATAGTTCTTTCTTTTAAATGTTTTTTTTTTTTTTAAACAGATACAGAGAGAAAGAGCATGAGCAGGGGAGGGGCTGAGAGACACACATAGAATCTGAAGCAGGCTCCAGGCTCTTAGCTGTCAACACAGAGCCTGACGTGGGGCTTGAACCCACAGACCATGAGATCATGACCTGAGCCAAAGTTGGACGGTTAACTGACTGAGCCACCTAGGTGCTCCTCAGATTGAGAATTCTGATGAAGACAAGTTTGTGCTTTGATTCCTCAAAGCGAGAGACACCCTCCACCCTCTCGTGTTCTCAGCACCTGGTTTGTGCCACACTGAGTGGAACTAACCATGTTCCATTGGTCTTTCCCACTGGGCGGCTAGGTCCTTGGCTTCTCAAGAAGGGTGTCACTGTCTTTGTGTCTACAGTTGGGAACAGAGGAGAGATTCAGTTCACACTTGTGGACTGAGTGGGTGAATCCATTCTGCTTATCCCTTTAACGCATACTTTCCTTTTCCTAGACCCAGTGATTACACCAGTGTTGGATGTTAATGTTATTAAAGTAGAAACAGACCGACATTTAATACTGCGTTGCATCTCATTCAATGGCTCTCTGCCCATCAATTATACTTTCTTTGAAAAAGATACCGCCATATCACCAGCCATTTCCAAGGACATAAGGGAGCCTGCTGAATTCAACTTAACCAAGAGAAACACTGGAGGAAGGGAAGAGTATAGGTGCAAAGCTAAAAACAAATTGCCTGACCACGCAAAATACAGTCAACCAGTCTTCATCAATCCCTCGACAGGTAAGAGCTACCTGAGCTCTTTTGACAGGGTCTGGATTTGCTTCCAGAAACTGCAGCCAGCCTCTCCCACGCACTTCCCACTTTGGCTGTCTGCATCCAAAGGCCTTTCCCTTTGAAGGTTCTACATGAACTCTGACGGGGTTTCTTTCTGCTGTTCAAAAGAAGAAGAAAAGCCTAGAAACTAGGTCAGGAAGGAACCCTGCAGTGAGATTTCCTGATTTGACCCTGCTTCCTGCCTTGATCTCCCACTGCCCAGGTTCTAAGCTAGCATATAGACTTTGCATCTCTCTTGGGCTTGGAGCCTGGTCTTGATTTTCTTCTGCTTTTTCATTGACTTCTAACACCTGTGCCCTCCCACTTGGCTGTTTCTTGCCCACTGCTAATGGTTGGAGAGTCTAGACTTCTGGGACCACCCTTGGGGTGGGAAGGGCCCCTGCCCCAGTCCTGTGTTTTGGAGGGCACTGCTCTGGTGCTTCTTCGCCTTGCATCTTCCCATAGGCTGGGGGGTCCGGGAAACCATGAGAATATGCCCACCTGGACCCTGCATCCTCACTTTCCTAAACCACATTCTGGGTGCCTGAAGCTGGATTCTCTACCCGATCAGGTCAGAACCCTCTTACCAGGGCCGACACAAGTCTTGCTCCCAGCTCATCCTCCCAAGATTGTACCTGGACTCGAGTGTAGGGGGCTGCTGGTGGGGGGTGTAGGCAGCATTTGGACATGCAGGTAAGAGGATCCATGTGCACGCGAGCCCCTTGGAGTGCACATCAGAGCCCGAGTGGAAAGGTGGGCTGGCTCTCTCCATGCTTCTATATTCTGGCACAGAACTCTGAGGAGGCTGAGAATTCTAGATTCAAACCTGGATTTCCAGGTCCTTATGAAGGGACACTTGTCAAAGTAGGAGAACGATAAAACAAAAATGAGGTTAGCTAAGGTGGTGGGCACACTTGGGCATTGCACCCTTCACCCAGCCTCATCCTCAGAAGAACAGAGCCCACACCCTACTCGTCAGTAAATTCTAACAGATGAGGCCGCCTGTTGGACTCAGGTCCCAGAGTCTAGTTTCTGTCTACAAATCACAGCACTTCCATTTACTAGCTGTGTGACCGTAGGAAAGTCCTCTAACCCCTTTGAGCCTTACTTTACTCATTTGTAAAATGGGAGTTATATCAATGAGACAAATAAGGCAATGCATGCAAAATGCTTAACACAGCATCTGGCATGTAGTTAATAATGAATGGTAGTTGTTTAGGTGGCATAAATCATGCCAACATGACTATGGGCTTTGCCCAATAAGTGGCCAGGCTGTTCTGAGCCTTATAACCCTAACAATGTTGCCAGGAATCTGGTTAAATGCTGTGCTGCTTTTCTCTTCCTTTGTACGACCCCTTGTGGAGGATGTATTCGGTCGTGACTTTAAGAACTTCACTGACTAACAAGTTAACTCTCAAGAGCTGCAGGTGTCCATAGCAGTCTGAGGACCAGAGGTGCACAGTATATTAGTTAACTTGGGAGACAGCTGTGAACTGCCCTTTCCAGAACATTCCACAGTTCGATGTCATTGGAAAAGAAAGCTCTGTGGTAACCAAGGAACTGCTGTCTTCTTCCAGGTGGAGGCAGCTGTCCTTTCTGCCTGCAGTTACTGCTTCCAGGATTATTGCTGGTGTTAATAGTCATAGTCTCAATTCTGACATTTTGGATGCTACCAAAGTACAAAGCAAGTAAGTTCTTTCAGCAGCTTTTGCACTGTTTTCCATGGGTGTTGGATACAGGGAGCAGGGGATAAGGTGAAGAGGAAGGGAAAGGGAAATTGAAAATGGGATACAAAGGAGATGCCTGTGTGGCTCAGTCAGTTGAGTGTCCAACTTTGGCTCAGGTCATGGTTTCACGGCTGGTAAGTTCAAGCCCCGCATCGGGCTTGCTGCTGTCAGCTCAGAGCCTGCTTCTGATCCTCTGTCCCCCTCTCTCATTCACACTCTCTCTTTCAGAAATGAATACGCATTAAAATAATTATAACAAATTGTAAAATACACATAAAAAAACAATAAATGTTACCATCTTAACCACTGTTCAGTATACAGTTCAGTGGCGGTGAGTACACTGTCATTGCTCTGCAGCCATCACCACCGTCAGTGCATGGAACCTCTCTCATCTTGCAAAACTGCAACCCTGTTCCCATTAAACCCTCCCCACTGAGCTCCCCCCACCCCAGCCCCTGACAACCACCATTCTCCTTTCTTTCTTTATGATTTGACTACTCTGGGGACCTCACCTAACGGAATCCTCGGGTGTCTCTCCTTTGGTAATGGCCTATTTCACTCAGCATAATGTTCTTAAGCTTCATCCATGTTGTGCATGTGTCAGAAATTTCCTTCATTTCTAAAGCTGAAGAATATTCCACTGCAGATACATATGTAGATACAAATACATATATCCACTAAACATATCCGTTCATCTGTCAATGGGCCTCGGGTTGCTTCCGCCTTTTGGCTGTTGTGAGTAATGCTGCTATGAACGTGGGCACACAAATCTTGATGATTTTAGCAAGAGACCTCGCATTTTCACTTCGCGCTGGGCCCTGCAAACGAGGTAGTAGGTCCTGACCTCCAGCTCCGCAAAGGCAAGAGCTTTGCCTTGTAATTGTCAGCCTCCTTGTTGGCTCTGCCCCTCCGAGGAAGCTCCGTAAATGAAGATGAACTCGAGCGTCGTTCCACGGCCTCACCTCAGGCGCCACATCAAGCCCCAGGCACTGCTTTTCTCTGTTCACCTCTTAGGACCACCTTTACTTAAGATTTCAAAATCTGGCCCTTTCACTTGGCACACAAGTGTTGAAGAATATCAAGACTTGCTTCTGGCTTGGAGAAGCAGATGCTATGGATTCCTTGCTGGGTCCACAGTTTTCCTTCAATAGATGCCAGCATAGGCCATGGGAGCAGTCATTCTTAGTTTCGGAACTTTGGGGGATTCAGCTCCTTGGCAGAGGAAATGAGAAAAATATGGCTGACTTGGTTTAATGATTCTGTACCAATTTATGTAGGGAAAGCTATGAGAGATCAGGCACCCAGAAACTATGGAAATACACCTACGGAAATTGGAATATATGCAAATATCTGTGAAACTCAAGCAGGTAAGAGAACTTTGTTGGGTGTTTTGATTGGTTTGGTTGGTTGGTCTCAGGTTTTTGTCTTTTAAACTTTCTTAAGGTTGTACAGACACATAGGTTAAAAAAAAAAAAAAAAAGGAAGGAAAGTTATAGAATACAAGGGCGCCTCCGACCCAAGACCTCCAGTTCCCCTCTGCAGGTTTAGCTACTAGTTCTTAAAATCCTTCCACAGATACTTTATGCATATGGTAGCGTGTCATACCGATGCCATTCTCCGCCTTGATTTTTTTCACTTCACAACGTTATCGTGGAGCTTTTTATATGTCAATTCAGAACGATCCACAGTGTGTTCCAGAGCCTCTTAGGACCTCCTCTCAATGCAGGCATCATACGCTGCTTCTTGGTGAAGAGACCCAGGGCAGAGCCTTGGTAACAATGAGAATAAACCTCGTCAACACTAACTGAGGGCCAGCCCCACTCCAGGCATGGCACTAAGCATATTACCTGCTCTGTCCTATGCAAACACTACTCCCAATTTACCTCGTTCCCATTCTACAGTGAGGAACCTGTGCTGGGCTTGGAACCAAGGCGGTGTGTTCCCACAGCCCGAGATGGTGAGTGCTCTCTGTGAAAAGTCCAGAGGGTACACACCATTTCGAGGGCAGCCGGCTCAACCACCGCCGTCAAGTGATCCGAGATTCGGGTTATAGGCCTAGTAACTCTGTTCCTTGTCTTTTGCCCAGGAACTGGACACTCCCAGGAGATACATTACGCTACCCCCATGTTCCAGGAGGTGGCACCAGGACATCGTGGTGAGCCACAGTTTGGGATAAGAGATGCTAACAAAATGAGACCGCAGTCTCTGTGAGGCCACCATACTCTGGGGCTTTAGAAGCCCAAGGATGGGGTAGATGGGGACAACGTGCACACCCAGGAAACCAGTAGTAACCAGCACCACAGCTCCTAACAAATGCTAGGGAGATGGGTGGGTAGGGAAGAGGGAAAGATGTGACATAGTGACATATAAAAAACTCAGAGAGGAGGATGCAGGGGTACTACAAAACCATTTTAAAGAATAAATTATTTTTATATACTCCAGGAAAAAACCAGTTAATTCTTGGTTCTGTCAATCTACTCAGCTACTAAAATGAGATTTTTTTGAGGGGTGGTGGTGGTTGGTTTTTAGAGTCTTTGGATATATACATTATTTTTACTGAATTATTTTCTCTTCTTATATTTCAGAAGCCTATAATGATTGTAAAACTGGATCTATCTATTCTGAACCCATCAGAAGATGACATTTAAAGATATAAGCTACATCTCAGAGTAAGATGCTTTTTATGAAGCTGATTTACATGAAGAAAAAGCAAATTTGCTTGATACTTAAATATATCCTGCTGGTTACCTAAAGTTAATCACTATTTTTCATGATTAAACACTATTCCTTTGACCTATGTGGGTACATCAAATCCTGTCATCAGATAATAGTTTTGTCAGGTGGGATCCTGACTGGTGACAGGTTTTAAATGCTTTTACTATTTTTAGGCACAGAGCATTTCCCCCATTGCCACATCATTTAAAAAAGAGTAAGTGTGGGGTACCTGGGTGGCTCAGCTGATTAAGCATCAGACTCTTGATTTCAGCTCAGGTCATGATCTCATAGTTGTGAGATCAAGTCCTCCCCCACTGGGGCTCCACTCTGGGCATGGAGCCTAGTTAAAATTCTCCCTCTCTGCCCCTCCCCCACTCATGCACATGCATGTGCTCTCTCTCTTGCTCACTCTAAAAAAGAGTAATTGTTAGACCATTGTGCTCTTCATGTCTAAATTCTAAAACAAAAACTGGTGACTTTAAAAACATGTCTGAAGAAAATAGTCCCTATAGTTACACACCAAGTACACATTTATTGTCTATTGCTGTTTCAGTTTGCTCTCAGATTTGGGTAGGCTGCAAAAATATTTACATTGATTTTTTTTCATGGACGTCCTCAGTCCTCAAGATTTAGCTAATGTCAAAGGTGTGCCTCTCTGTGCTGCATTTCGCATCAGCATTCTGTAGAGAACAGTGCTCTGTGGGAGAAAGGAGAATGGATTACTTGGACTGTTTTAACAAATTACCACAAACTGGTGGCTTGAAACAACAGAGATTTGTTTTCTCATAGTTCTGAAGACCAGAAATCCAAAGTCAAGATGTCGGCAGGGCTGGGCTCCCTCTGAAGTCCCTAGGGGAGAATCCTTGCTTGTTGGCTTCAGTTTCTCATGGTTCTTGGTGTTCCTTGGCTTGTGGCAATATCTCTCCAGCCTCTGCCTCTGTCTTCACATGGCCTTCTCTTCCTTTGCCTTTCTTTTATAAGGACATTGCTCATTGGATTTAGGATTGCCCTGGATAATCCGGGATAGTCTCATCTCAAGATTCTTAAATATATCTACATAGACCCTTTTTTTTTTTTTTTTCCAAATTAGATGACATTCACAGGTTCTAGGAGTTAGGACATGGACTTATCTTTTGGGGGAACCACCCACTCAGACCCACCACAAGGAACAAGATGATTTCTAGTTTAAACCTCTCACCCTAGGAGTTATTAATAAAGTACAATAAAAGTTAAAAGGTATTTGTAGGATTCTAGACAAACAAAACAACTTCGTCAAAGTTTTTCTGCTCTGCTCGTCTGGGTGTTGCCTGAACCTCGGTCTTAATCATTCCCAACAGTGGACCTCTGACTAGAGAATTCACAGCTACCAGTTGTTAGACACTAACTGTGTAACATTCTGTAAGGCCGAATTATTATTAACTTGCTTTTACAGGTAAGGAAACTTAGACTCAGATGCGGTAAGTATTTTGCAAGGTCACCTACAGCTTAGTGCTGGTTGAATTGGGAGTTCAATCCTAGCAAAAATCAGCAGGAATACCTATTCAGGGTGGGAAAGGATACTGTACACACAGGTCCAGGTTAGAGGATTTTGTTGCCATAAAGCAGCATTCATGAGCATAATTTCTGCCCTTTCTCTGTTGATATTTATATTTGGGGTAAATCAGTATGTCAGAGAGGCTAAGAGAGGCTAAGTAAGGAGTTCCAGAGTCAGAGAGACTGAGCTGAATTCAGGCTCAGTCATGTCTTAACCGTGTGACTCTGGATAAGTTATGGGCTTCACTTTTTTTCATCTGTGGGAGAAAGAGTAAAGCGGGGGGTGGGGGGGTGGGCAGAGCAAATAATACCTGCATCGTGGAGCCACTGTGAGAATTAACTCAGGTAATGAATGTAAAGGGGTTGGAACAGGGTCCAGGCATATAGTAAGAATTTTTAAAAGGCTACCTCTTTGTGGTATGATGCTTACTCTGAGTCATACCAATTGGCTGCTCCCCTTAGAAATCTTTTAGTCTTTGAGGTCATAAAATTGGCAACTTGGCCTCTTCCATCTTGGGCTTCCTCCTAAAGCAGAGCCTGAGACAAGGACTTGGGTTCTGGTAGCCTATATGGCAGATGACCCCAGGCACTGGGAGTGAGGGAGCAAGCAGATACAGTGAAACGTTTCAGAGGAGGGAAAGTCAATTCAGGGGTGGGGAGGGCCTAGCAATCTAGAAACCATACTGGTAATTGGATCTGATCCAGTTAAGACCTTCAAAAGTTTTGAAGTCCAGAATGCCTCTGGGTTTCACAGCATGTCCTGAATCCATAGCCTCTCATTTTCTCCTTGCAAAGCTTTTAAAGCAGTTAGTAGAAGCCAACCAACTCCACAATCCATATAATTACCACTGCCCTGTGCCTTTCAAGTGCTAAACCCATGGCAGAGCCTAGTGCTTCACTTTCTACCTCCATCTCCTTTCCCACTGCTGGGGAAGGTCTTAGTAATTGTAAAGTAATTGGGAAGCTATGGCGTGTGTTATCACCCACCCCCTTCACCACCCCCTTACAACATCACATGTTGCCATCCATCCAAGGAGTAATTCTGTTTCCCAGCACTGTCTTCTAAGGCCTGCCGATACCCTGTCTTTTCCAGGGCTAGCCCTGGAAGCAGAGCCTGAGATAAGGCCTTCTGTGCAAATAATTTATCTAGAAGGTGGTTCAAGAGAACAAGCACAAGGGACTAGAGGAAAAGCCAGTACCAGAGTGTACTGTTGAGTTGGGCAACTGGGGCTTGATCTCACTGGAACCTTCTGAGCAATGAGATGTTTCTTAGAACTGTCTGCCTAAGGACTGATAGTAAGAAGCAGTCATCCATTGGCTTCCATCCCTGATTGGCTGAGCATTGTCCCAGGAGGTGATGCCTCCCCAACTTCCAGGCTGTGCATGTGGACATTACAAGTGGGCTTCATTGGCATCTCACGCAGGGTACTGCAAAGCACCAGGGCAGAAAATGAGTGATATGTGTACGCTTGAAGCAAGAAGTTTTCAACACAAAGTGAACAGAAGTGCTGTGCACGCCATCTTGAAACATTTCCTTGTGACAACAATAGCTGCCATGTGTTGAGGACATACAGTGTCCAGCTGCTATTAAGTGTTTTGTGTACTTATATGCTTACATAGTGCTCACGATTCCCTCCCCTTCCGGCTACGACTTCCCATGGCTTCCCACTCCACACACCCCGCCCTCCCTGCACAGACGTTCACGCTTTCCGATTGAATTGTTCCGATTGAAAGGGAAGAAGAGGAAAAGGGAAAGGAAAAGATCTACAGAGTTTTCATTTCAATAGCTAGTTTTATTTTCATGTCTATTTAAGCTTCACTTTGGTTCTTTTTCAACATTGCCTTTAGTTTTGCCGGGTTTTGAATTTAATACAAATGGAATCATAGCAGTTATCCTTGTGTCTGGTTGTTTCTGTTTTTTGTTTGTTTGGCCAATATTGTATTTGTGAGATTTATCCAGGTTGCAGCATGCAGCTGTAATTGCATATTCCACTACTAAATAGTATTGCATTGTTTGAATATACCGTAATTTATCTTTGCTGCAGTGGACAGACATTTGGGCTGTTGTCAGTTTGTATATGTGCTGCCAAAGCGAGAACTGGGCTGTTGTCATTTTGGAGCTATTACAAATAATGAAGCTGTGACTGCTTTTATGCAACAAGTCTGCTGCTTCCATGTGCGTGCAATTATGTTGAACATATATAGGAATACGATGACTAGGTCATGGGGCTCATCCCCATGTTGATCCCCAACCTAAGGAGATGATGCCACTATATTTTCCAGAGTGGTTCTATCACCTTTCCATTCTGTTGAATGGTAGGTGAGTTTCCATGCTGTGTCTTTACCAACACTGGTACTTCTTAATAACTATTTAATTAATTAATTTTTAGAGAGAGAGTGTGAGGGGGTAGAAAGGCGGGAGGGGAGAGGGAGAGAGAGAGAGAGAGAGAGAGGGAGAGAGAGAGAGAGAGAGAGAGAGAGAGAGAGAGAGAACTTCAAGCAGGCACCATGCTCAGCAAGAGCCTGATGTGGATCGTGACCTGCACAGAAACCAAGAGTTGGACACTCAACTGACTGAGCTACTGAGGTGCCCTACACTGTCATTTTAATTTGACCATTCTTATGGGCATCTAGTAATATCTCATTGTGATTTTAATTTGCATTTCCCTGAGATTAATAAGGTTGAGCACATTTTCCCATATTTATAGGTCATTTGGATTTGTTTTTTTTTTGTTGTTGTTGTTGAAATACCTGTTTGAGGCTCTTGGACTATTTTTCTGAGGTATTTTGACTTTTTCTTCCTTATTTATTTATTTATTTATTTATTTACTTATTTGAGAGAGAGAGAGAGAGAATGTGAGTGGGGCACAGGCAGAGAGAAGACAACAGAGGATCTGAAGCAGGCTCTGTGCTGATAGTCCACCCCACTACTGTACTCTTTTAAATAAGTTTTGATAACTGGAAAAGCAAATTTTCCCATCTTGTTCTTTTTAAGGATGTCTTAACTATTCTTGACTTTTGCATTTCCAATTAAATCTTAGAGTCAGCTTGTTATTTTCTTAAAGAAAAAAAAAAACCCTGAACATTATAGGGATTTTGATTGATATTGCATTGAATTTATATATCGATATGGGGAACATTAACATTTTTTTTTTTTTTTTAATTTCTAGGAGAGAAACAGAGAGACAGCGTGAGCAGGGGAGGGTCAGAGAGAGAGGGAGATACAGACTCTGAAACAGGCTCCAGGCTCTGAGCTGGCAGTCAGCACAGAGCCCGACGCGGGGCTTGAACCCACGAAACGCGAGATCATGACCTAAGCGAAAGTCGGACGCTTAACCGACTAAGCCACCCAGGGGCCCCACATTAACATTTTTCTAATATTGAGTCTTCCACATTACAAACAGCTCACTGTTTGTGTCTTCTTCAATTCTCTTAAGAATGTTTTATCATTCCCTGCATACACATCTGACACATCTTTTGTTACATATCTTATTTACTCCTAGGTACCTGATATGTTGATGCTATGATAAGTTGTGTTTTTATTTCATGTTGTTGATACATATATATATATAAACACAATTAACTTTTTTGTTTGATTTTGTATCATTTAGCAACCCTGCTAAACTCTCTTTAACTTAAGTAACTTATCTACAGATTGTCTTACAATCTGGAGGCCAGAGAGCTACTGTCACTGTTACCCTGGTCGCCTCCCGTCACAAGAGCCTTAGGCCCAGAAACCGGAAGCTACACATGGGAGGCAGAGCTCTGCCGCTGCAGACACTTGCTTCTCAGCAACAATCACCACCTTCCTTTCTCCTTTCCAGACCCCACACACGTGCGTCTATTTGGAAGATATTCACAACCATATACACTCTGGCAGTAAAGGAATTGTAACTTTTTAGGTTTCCGATGCCACCAAATAGAAGGAGGGTCCTGATGATGCTAAGAGAACCACTCAAAGTATCTACCACATTAGCCAAAATATCAATCAAGACTGAGGGTAAAATGAGGGCATTTTAAGACAAAGACTGAGAAGGAGGTTTTCCAATCATGTTCTCATTGAAAGAAGTACACTATATACTTGAAGAAGAAACCTGAACACAGATAAAGGGTGTAAGACTCAAGAGGCATATACTATGGGCGCCTGGGTGGCTTAGTCGGTTGAGTGTCCAATATCAGCTCAGACCATGATCTTGCAGTTCATGAGTTTGAGCCCCATGTCGGGCCCTGTGCTGACAGCTCAGAGCCTGGAGCCTGCTTTAGATTGTGTCTCCCTCTCTCTCTGCCCCTCCCCTGTTCTCACTCTGTCTCTCTCAAAAATAAACATTAAAAAAGAAAAAAAGAAGCATATACTAAACATAAATGACAGAAGGCAGGGGGACAGGGAAAGAGAGGTATGCATAAGGTTTGGAAACATTACAAAACCACCTGACAGGGGGATTGAACTCGTGAACCATAAGATCATGACCTGAGCCGAAATCAAGAGTTGGACGTTCAACTGACTGAGCCACCCAGGTGCCCCTAAGTGATGTGGGTCTTGACCACCTCTCTGACCTCATCTTCTACTCGTCTCCCCTCTGTTCATCTACTCTGGCTCCCCTGTTCCTTCTTTCTGCTCCTTGATCATTCCACACCTTTTCCCTCCTAAGGGACTTGGCTCTTGCTAGTCCCGCTGCCCAGAATGCACTGCCCCAGATCTTCACACACCTGCCCCCTTTACATCATTCAGCCTCACTTTGAAGGTCACATCCTCACAGCTTCCCTGGTAATCTATGCAAAACACACTACCCAGCCATGATCTAGCACATCATCCTGTTCTATTTATTACCTACAACACTAACACTATCTGAAATTACTTGAAATTGTCCATGTGCCTCCTGCTTAGCGTCTGTCCCCACCTGCCCACCCCTAGAAGGGACTTGTCTGTGCTGTTCACCACTACATCCTTAGCACTTACAGTCCCTGGGACTTAGGTGCTCAGAAAGCCTTTCTGATGAACAAGATGAACAAATAGGGAACACATACAATAACAGGCCAGTCTTTAGGAGAAGCACAATTATCAGATAAATTTTTCCCATGCTTCCTTACAGGAAGACGTGGTGTAACAGCAAACAAATGCCTTCAAAAACACTTATTCGTGGGCCCCACTGTCAGAGATTGTTATCAGGAAAGAATAGGACTCAAATGTATTCAGATTTTAAAGAGCTCCAAAGGGGATTCTGATGTAGAATTATAGCTGGACATCTCTGATTGGGATAAACCTCCACAATATTACTTACCTCACCTGCAGTATAAACATTCTCTGTTGCCAGTTAGTACAGATGTCTTGGCAGTCAGACCAGGAATACAATCCTTCTGTGAAGGTTGAGGCCCCTAAAAGGATGAGGTACCTAAATGAAGGGACCTGTCAGCAGGACCGAGGTTTTCTTTAGGAAAATACTGTTGTAAAACTTAAAAAACATTCTTACACTTATTTTAAAACTAAGTTTTGAACCCCAAAATGCAAAAATAAAATTTAAACTTTTAAGTAGACGTACAGGGGGTCATATTGGTATTACAATTCTGAGACTGGTGTAATTAAGGTAAAATAAAGTAAATGGGCAGTTGTGGGGTGTGGCTTTCTAATTTTATCATCACCTTCAGTATTCCTGAGAACTGGGATTTTGGGACGGGAAGAAATACAAATGTCTGATAAAAGAGATTAAGTAAAACCCTGCCATCCTAAAGGGCATGAGGGGACTTTTTTGGGGTGATGGAAATGTTCTATATTGTTACTCTGGTAGTAGTTACCCATTTGGCAAAACTCATAATTTGTACATTTAAAATAGGTAAATTTACTGATGATAATTTATATTTCAGTAAAGCTGATTAACACACACACACACACACACAGCTAGTTCTGAACACTGTAAAGGCCTAGAAACAAAGACTACCTTCTAACTATGAGCACCCCTAGTGCCCAGAGTACTGCATCCAAATACTGTTTTCCATTAAAAGGAACCAGGGTTTCTTGGAGAAACTGTGAAATATACAATCTCTAGATCAGACATTAGATACCAAGGAAGTTATCAAGAACTACTAAAGTCATGTCAAAAGGACTCCAGGCCAACTTGAAGAGGCTTCTATTGGCTAAAGATAGGACAATTTGAACATCAAAAAGAACAACTTTAAAGGGGACAAATCAGCGTTTATCCTTTCTCATACCTCTAAGCAAGTTAAGAGATGTTTTTCTTTACAGAAGTATTCTAGCTAATGAATGAAGATGTAAGAAAATCAGAATATCACCATTTTGCCACCTCTAATGAACTGACTGACCTAAGCACTGATCAGTGCTTGACTGCTAGCATCCCCAAAAGAGAAACCACCAGACACCACTGCCTCCTGATGGGAGAACACAACCTAGGAAAAATCCTGTCCCCCTAAATTAAACTTGAAACTGATTAAGCTTCTGGATTCAACTTCCAATCCATAGGAAATTATATATAGAGAGGAACAGGTTAAACCATCATGGGGATGCAATAAGTATAGTCCAAACAGTGACAAACCCCATAATAAAGCAGCCCAATTCCTTAAAAAAAAAAAAGAGCAAGCTCAAATCTAAGGGATAAGAGAGACTAACAGACCTAACAATCAACTTCAATTTTATGAAATTATGAGACAACTGAAAATCAGGTGGATATTAAAGAATTGGTTTTGGGGGCACCAGGGTGGCTCAGTCGGTTAAGCGTCCAACTTCAGCTCAGGTCATGATCTCACGGTTCCTGAGTTCGAGCCCTGCATCGGGCTCTATGCTGACAGCTAGATCAGAGCCTGGAGCCTGCTTCGGATGCTGTGTCTCTCTCTCTGACCCTCCCCTGCTCATGCTCTCTCTCTCTCAGAAATAAATAAAACATTAAAAAAATTAAATGAAAAAAAAAGAATTGGTTTTGGGGTGTCTGGGTGGCTCAGTTGGTTAAGTGTCCAAATTGGGCTCAGGTCATGGTCTCACAGTTCCTGAGTTCAAGCCCTGCATCAGACTCTGCACTGACAGCCCAGCGCCTGCTTTGGCTCCTGTCTCCCTCTCTCTCGCTGCTCCTCTCCCACTCTGTCTCTCTCCTAAAAAGTAAATAAACATTGGGGCACCTCAGTGGCTCAGTTGGTTAAGCGTCCGACTTCGGCTCAGGTCATGATCTCACAGTTTGTGGGTTCGAGCCCCACATCAGGCTCTGTGCTGACAGCCAGCTCAGAGCCTGGAACCTGTTTCGGATTCTGTCTCTCTCTCTCTCTCTGACCCTCCCCTGTTCACACTCTCCCTCTCTCTCTCAGAAATAAATTAAAAAAAAAAAAAAACATTAAAAAAAGTAAATAAACATTAATTTTAAAAATGTTTTATTATGAAAATTCTCAACACATGCAAATATAGAAAAGCATTACAATGAACCTCCACGTGCCCATTACCCACCTTCAACAACTCAGAAATATTATTGTTTTCTATCTAAAATGGAGAATTTTAAGGCTTGTTTCAGGTTTCATATCATTCCACTCAAAAATATTTAAGTATGTGTCTCTATCAGATGAGGATGTTTTAAAAAAAAGCCATAATACCATCATCAGACTCCCAAGGAAATTGTCAATAATTCCTTCATATCATCTAGTGTTAATTTTTTCTAGGTGGGATAAAGGTTAACAGAAGATACTTAACTGAAATACTTACGGATGAAATGATACCCATAATCTGCTTCGAACTGATACGGAAGGGTGGTGTTGGGGGGATGAGGCAAGATGTTCACAGGTTGATGGTTACTGGTGCTGGGTGATAGTATTTGGAGTTAATTACACCATTCTGCATATACTTGGAATTTTTGTCAAGTTTAATGACAGTTTAATTAACACAATCAGCACATAAAAGTTTAAAGATTTCTTTTATCCATTAGAATCAGACACGAAATACACTGTAATACTAGATTATGCCATCCAGCAATAAATGTTCTAAATTTTGAAAGCTTAGTTTTAGGTTAATCTTCAGTATTTGATATACATGTGGCAGTTTCTAGAAAGACTCCTTCTTTCCTGATAGTAAAACCCATTTCAGAGAGAAGACACTACTAAAGCCCGGAAGAATAAACTGGGTTTGATCCAAATTAATTATGATACTTTCATCCCCTCAGATAGTGACTGGACTACAAGTGACCAGGTGACTTAGTTCTGACTAATGAAATGTAAACAAGTCTTCTGATTGGGATGCCTGGAAAAGCTTTTACTTTCCCAATTAAAAAGGAAAGAGTTTTGACTGGTTAGCTCTTGTTTCTTTGACTTTCTTCCTAACTAAAGTGTGGATAAGAAGGCTAGAATACAACAGTCACCTTATGATCACGAAGCAGGAAGTATAAAAATAAAAACCAAAATACTAAAGATGGTAGAACAGAAAGATATCAAGAGCCTGGGTCCCTAACTATAACTGAAATAATTATAACAGCTCTGGACAGTCCACCTCCTGGACTTTTTGTTATGAGAAAAACAAACTACAATTTGCTTAAACTAATATATTGTATCTTGTTTTTTATTTTCAAGTAATCTCTACACCCAATATTGGGCTTGGACTCACAATCCTGAAATTGAGAGTCACATGCTCTTCCAGCCAAGCCAACCAGGGGCACCCAATATAGTGGGATTTTTGTTTCTTGTAGCTGAACATATTTCTGATAGAATGGAATACATCAAGAAATATAAGTAATAAAAACTGAATTTTAAAAAAGCACCAAAAATGTCCACTTCATAAGTGTAAAGGAACTAAAAACAAATCTAAGTTAATAGAAGACAATCAAATTAGGAAAGAAGAATATTTATTATACAAATATTAAAACCTATACATTCTTAGCTGATGATATATACTTGATTAAAAAGTCTTTTACTTTGGATATATGCATCATTTCCTTCATCGTGGTGTCTCTGCTTCTCAGATGTATTAACCCATTCTCCAAAGTAGCTTCAGTAATCAAAACTGTGAACAGTATACTCATTTCATCATATCTAAGGGAAAAAGTAGTCAAACAAAATACATGAGCACAAACATAAATTGGAAATTCACCACACTACCAGCTTTAATTACTTTAGAATCCAGCTACTTTCCAGAGTCACAAAATTCAAAGGCGGGGTTTGAGAGGTAGACCAAACAACATTTTCAAAGTTGGTGAATTGTATTCAAAGTAAACTTTTCATAAAGTTTCTCTGACTTATTGTAATAGATGTAAATTCATAAAAGAAAATAAAATCTGAGAAATAAACACTGGTACCTCGACACAATATTTGGGGTGAAATTATGGATAAACCTCAGAATAAATGCAGCCTTTTATTACTTGGATATAATTTGAGAAAAATCACTTTAGACTAAAGTTTCTTATAATACCATTGTTAACAAAGATCTTGTGTACAATACATTATACCCAAATCACACTTACTTAATATAGAACTCAGTATGCTAACTTATAGTTTCTAGTTAAGCAATAACCAAATATATTCACACTGGCCTTCTTTCTGCTTACTCAGTTACACAACCTCATTGTTTGCTTTGTAGAACTCCATCAGAAATTATCTTATTTATCTTTATTATGCTTATTGTCTACTTTGTCCCACTAGAATATAAGTTTCCTAAGAACAGAAACCTTTTCTGTCTTGTTTACTGCTGTTATCAAAGTGCATAAAACAGAAGTGTGCTTAATAAATATACCATTAAAAATATCCTGGGACGATAAAGGCTTTACCATTCAAAAAACAACTGTAACTTGATAATGTTCAATTACCCTTTAATGACAACAAAGGAGAAGATTTTAGAACTCAAGAGAACTAGCAAGTTCAAGCACCACCTTTCAGTTTTATATATAATGAAACCATTACTTGCTTTATTTATAGAAAATCTATTTTTCCTCTGCCATAATCTGAAAGGTGTATTTTAACAAGCTGCTAGAGGACTGAAGAGAAAAACATAATGCTTCCCAACTTTTCACCCAAAAGATAGTCAACACAAAAAGCTATTAAGATCACAAAATAAACCCAAAGGAGGGAAGAATGGATTATTTAAGAGACAAAAGTTAATGAAATTGCAGGGGATAAGACTAGAAACAGAAGATCAATCAGGAGGGGCGCCTGGGTTAAGGGTCCAATTTCGGCTCAGGTCATGATCTCGCAGTTCATGAGTTTGAGCCCCATGTCAGGCTCTGTGCTGACAGCTCAGAGTCTGGAGCCTGCTTCTGATTCTGTCTTCCTCTCTCTCTGTCCCTCCCCAACTCATGTGCTCTCTCTCTCTCTCAAAAAATAAACATTAAAAAAAAAAAAAGATCAATCAGGAGATCACTGCAAGAATCCAGCTAAGACACTGTTGACTTTAACTTGGTAGAGTAGCAAGGATAGAGAGAGATGGATCCGACATACTATTTAGGGGCAGGCTGACAGGCAGTGATGAACTTCCTTACTGGAGTAAGGAAGCACATATTGTAATAGATGAAAATTGTCCCTGTGGTAGCAATTAACTAGAGGCACATGGTTCTATAAATGGTAAAGTTAGGAGTAATTTTAACTTAGATATATATAATGTAATACATATATATATTTAGAAGAATATTTAGAAGAGATTTCTGTTACTCATAAAGAAACATCATATGATCAAAAACACTACACACATATTTTAGTAATAACAAAGACAATTCTTGGGGCGCATGGGTGGCTCAGTAGGTTAAGCATCCAACTTTGGCTCAGGTCATGATCCAGTGGTTCATGATTTCGAACCCTGTGTCAGGCACTGTGGTGACAGCTCAGAGCCTGGAACCTGCTTCAGATTCTGTGTCTCCCTCTTTCACTGCGCCTCCCCTGCTCATGCATGTGTACACACACACTCTCTCCTTCTCTCTCAAAAATAAACGTTGAAAAAGATAGACAATTCTTACTTTGAATAAAGTTGTTCCAGTGAGGAGTGCACAGTTTCCAAATAACCAGGCCACACAGAAATTCCATTTTCTAGTAATTCACTAAATAGCCCTTGACAAACCTGAGAAAAAATACATAAAATTTAAATATGAAGGAAGTAAAAGTAGCTAGGATGATTACCCTGTTTTCATGAAAACACTAATCACCTTTTCCAGTGCTTAAAATAGGCATAAATTCTCTGAGTTCTGACAATATTGTTCACGATGCATACACTTTATGCTTATAAACTCCGTATTTCCTCTAGAAATGAATTAAGCACTGAAAAGCTGAATACTAAATGCAAATCTCTGAGAGAAAATTTTATACAAAACACAAGAATTTTTGACACTATAGTTATCATTCAAAACACTAACAAAACCAAAACAGATTCTGTTGGAGAAAAACAGTCCAAAGGGCCGTGCTAACTGTGAACTTACCTGAGAGCGGGGCACTGAGCCCCATGGTTATACTACCACCTCACGTGGAGGAAACAAGGGAGAAGTAATTAGACAAGTATGACGAAAATGGGGAGAGTGGTGTTTCTAAAGCCAACTAAAGAAAACGTTTCCAGCAGAGAATGACTGATTTTGATGGAATGCTGGACACAAAAGCCTGACTAGAAATACAGAAGTAGTAAGGAGTAATATTACATAATTTATAATAAACGTAGTTTTCTTAACAAGCAATGGTGAAGTAAAACAGAGCAAAAACTTTAAACACCCTTAACAGTCTGGAGCAGGGTTTCTCCCCTTCTGCATGCTGATGTAGGATATCTAGCAGCATCCCTGGCCTCCACGAGATCCCTCCAGCCCTCCCCTCCCCGCTTGTGAGGACCAAAACTGTCTCCAGACAACACCCAGTGTCCCTGGTGTGGGAGAGTGGGCATGGTGGGTGGGGAGGATGGAGGGTGTGCCTGGGTAACAGTACTGTTTCTCAAACTTCAGCTAACATTAGAATCTCCTGGAGGGCTTGTCAAACACATGTTGTCACCAGAGTTTCTGATTCAGCCGCTCTGGGGTGAGGACCAAGAATCTGCATTTCTAACAAGTTACGAGGGAAAGACCATAACTAAATAAGTGGTAAGGTACACCTACGTAAGTGTACATAACAGAAGTAAATAACTAAGGTAAGGTACTTGATACTTTGGGGATAGGTGAGAACATAAATATTAATAAATCTAAGAAGTTAATAGAGAAAAAGAAACATTATGGATTTTAACAGTTTAGTGGTTGACAGAAAACAATTTGCTCTTTTGGGGCACTTGGCTGGCTCAGTCGGTTGGAGGTCCAACTCTTGATTTTGCTCAGGTCATGATCTTGCGGTTCACGGTATCAATTCCCACATTGGGCTCTGTACTGACAGTGCAGAACCTGCTTGGGATTCTCTCCCTTTCTCTCTGCCCCTCACCCACTTGCCCGCACCCCTCCTCAAAATATATAAACTTAAAAAAATTTTGCTCTTTTTATTGGAAGGTAGAAGAAAAAAAGCTCTAAGCATGATTAAGTGCTGAAGACATGGGGTAATGACAACCCCCACACCATGAGTGAGAATACAAATACACCATACAGCTAATCTGGAAACAATCTCACTGACATAGTGAAATTAAGGATTTATATCCATTTTATCTAGTAATCCCATCTCCATGTATATAATCAGTAAAAACCCCTGCATAGCCCAGAAAGTTCTGTCATACTGCTGAGGGAAAAAAAAAGTCAGAAACAGAGTAAGATATACAATATACTCCCTTTTGGTAAATTTAAAACACCCATAGGACACAATACTACCATAATCTTATACATAAACAAAACCAAAACAAAACAAGGCCTGCAATTACAATGACAAATATTTAAGGAGCAGAGTTCTTTTTTGTCCTTCAAGCAAAAAACCCCAAGGAACTTCTACCTACGAGGATGCTGGGTAGTCTGCCACGACCTCAGGGTGACATGTGGAAGTTAAACCATTACCTTCACTTCCCTTGTGTGCACTACCCACTCCCTACCCCCTTACCCCCCACTTCCCAGACCTCTCCACAGGCGTCTGAAGAAGAAAGCTGCGTAAATCTTGCTAGGGTCCTCACTCAGGCGCTGGATGGGTCTGAGTCACCCAGAACCCAGTGTAACTGCTGAAGGGGAGTCTCAAAAGAAACTGAAACCACTCTCCTGGTTTTTCTCAAGAGTATTTCATTAGGCTGGATAGATGAGAAAACCCAAAATAAGATTACAGATCTATAACTTGTTCATATTGACAGGTATCAAAAGTGTTATGTTGAAATTGTAAGTAGGCAAGAAATATCTTACTAGACATCTGTACAAATATTTGGATTACCCAAACTATGCATGCTCACTTAAAAAATGCAACTGTAACTAAGCATGACTTTAACAGTAAAATCCACTGAACTGTATGCAACTTCTTTTATATACTATTGATCTACAATTAGCCATAGAATTTGTCCATACCCATTTAATTAAATTTTTTAGGAAGCCAATGAGAGGTGCCTTGGTGGCTCAGTCAGTTGAGTGTCCAACTCTTGATTTCAGTTTAGATCATGATTCCAGGTTTGTGGGATCGATCCCCAGGGCTTGGAATTCTCTCTCTCTTTCTCACTGCCCTCCTACCCCACTTCCCCCCACCAAATAAAAAAAAATAATGTTAATTTAAGAAAATCAAACAAATCAAAATAAAAATTTTAAATGGCAAGCCACTCATTTATTTGAAATAATGATAATAATTAAAATTATGACATTAAAACTCATTTAACCCACCTGTCTTAATTCCACTGTTGGGCCTCTTCCCACATCCAAAGCAACCTTAACAGGGGCTAAACAAGGGTGAAGTTTAAGTACCTAAAAATTTAAAGAGAGAGGGGAAAAGGGCAGCACACCTTGATTAAACATAACACAAGCACTAACAGAACTTCTAAACAGTAAAATCTTGTATGAAAATGGAAGCTAGCTAAGGTCAGAAAAAGTCATGTAGTGATGTACTTAGCTGGCTATACCCAGGTGTTCACTGACTTCTCCACTTAAATGTTCTGTAGAAATAAGTTCACTTGATACTCTACCATTTCTGACAACTCCATATTCCCTCAATCAAAATGCCCCTTCTTGGCATCACTGCCTTTCCTACCCAGCCAGAGCCATGTGGCTTATATCATTAGGACTTTCTTTTGTCAAAACTTACCACTTTTCTTATTCTTCCATCCACTCAACAAATGGCTACTTAGTGCCAGAAACAGTTCCAGGTACTGGGGACAAAACTCCTTGTCCCTCATGGAGGGTGATAAACAGACAATAGACAAGTAAATAATATATTTGAAGGTGGTATGGGAGAAGATAGGAAGTGCTGCTGAGTGGTGGGCTGGAGAATGCTGTTTGAAATTTTTTTTTAAGTTTAGTTTTTTTTGAGAGAGCATGCATGCATGAGTGGAAGAAGGGGGGGGAGAGAGAGAGAGAGAGAGAGAGAGAGAGAGAGAGAGAGAGAGAGAATCTCAAGCAGGCTCTATGCTGTCAGCACAGAGACCAATGTGGGGCTCACTCTCACAAATCGTGAGATCATGACCTGAGCTGAAATCAAAGGCTGGATGTTTAATCGACTCAGCCACCCAGGCACCCCTGCAATTTTAAATAGGTGTTAAGAGAATTTCTCCTCTCTGAGGCGACATTGGAGCAGACTTGAAAGGTGGTAGTGGATCCTGGAGGAGGAGCATTCCAGGCAAATGGAAGGATGACTTGCATATTCTAGAAACAGCAAGGAGGTCTGTGCTGCTGGAGCAGAGTGAGTGAGGCAGAAAGTAGACAGGGGAAGGGTTCTGTGAAACAAACACTTGGGAGGCTTTGCCTTTTCCCGAGTGAGCTAAGGAGTTTAGTGGACTATTCTGAGCAGGTGGGCAAAGTAACATGTACCTTGTGAAAGGGCTATTCAGTGCCAGAGGGAGGGGATGGTGGTGGCTGAGATCAGAGTAGAAGCAGCTGATGGTAAGAAATGCTCAGACATAGGATATACTTTGAGGACAGAGTCCAGTGGTTTTTGCTGATGGTTTGGATGTGGGGTATAAGAGAAAGAGTGGATCCCCCATGTTTGCTATATATCCTATAAATCCCAGCCCCTGAACAATTCTATAATCCAACTTCAGGGGTCTATCAGGTTAAATGAACACTGCATAATTAATCACTTAGCTCTGAAGGGTGGTACTACAAACTCAGAGTTTCCAATCCCAATTGAGTACCCAACATGTTGAAATTTTTAATTTGGGGCACCTCCACTTTGCATTCAAGAGGGATATGAATACTCTAAATTCTTGCCACTTAAACCCCCTACTCCTCCACATTTTAAGCTAATAATCCTGCCTTCTAATTCCCTAAGAAACTAGAGGGTATGAGGAAAACTTCCTTCAAAGGCTAACCAGCCCTGGTAGCCTATTTCTATCTATAGCATCATTTCTCTCTACCCCACTTTTTCAAATAATTGCTTATCAAGACCAATCTCTCCACTTGTGTTCTTCATCCTATCTTGACCACTCAGGTTTCTTCCAAAATCTTGCTCCATTAGTCATTTATTTTTTTTTTTCTCCTCTCTTAATTTGAGCCCTTAAAAATGTCTTTTATCCAGGCCCATAGCTAACTCCTATGATCTACTCAATAGCCACTTAGGGTCAGACTATAAGCAGGAAGGTCAATACCACAAGTCCTGCTAGTGTGACACAGTCCTACCTAACACTCTGATACAAATGGAAGCCACCAAGGGAAAGGGTCAGGGTCTAAGAATCAGAGATTTCTGTCTATTTGTTTGTCAGGATCAAATGTAAATGTCTCTGGGATTACCCAAAAGAAATGCCTTGTTCTGTTCTGTGAGAATTTGATTATTCCTGTGGCCAGATTCTAAAAAACTGAAAAATAGTAAAATAACTTGCACTGAAAGAAATTTATTATTCACAGTTTGTGTTAGAAACCAAGCATACATACTAACATAAGTGAAAAAGACATATACTTCTATTTTCCCAAGTTTATCTCTGAAATATCAAAAGTACCTTTCTATGAAGATTCTTCTTTCTTGTAAAGGAGCTCTCTGTTAGTTGGAAAGAATCATAGAGATAAGCCAGCATGCCTCGGTCGAGATTTCCACTAATAGATAAAACATAAGGAACCACATTTTTTCGTCCATCTCGGCCCTTCACAGAAAAGTAGAACAAGAATAAAGTATCATTTAGCAGAGCTATTTCTTAAAACTACAGACTTACAGAACCAGAACACAAACTTACAAATTCATTTAACAAAGCATGTACACTGGGCCAGGCCTATACTAGTCACTGGGTCCACAAAAATGGTTATGACACATTTCCTGCTTTCAGGGAGTTTGGGGTTTAGATCAGTAAGTCTCAAGAACTGTCGAATTAAAAAATTAAAAAAAAAAATTTTTAATGTTTGCTTATTTTTGAGAGACAGAGACAGACATAGCATAAGTCAGGGAGGGGCAGAGAGAGGAGGAGACACAGAATCCGAAGCAGGCTCCAGGCTCTGAGCTGACTGCACAGAGCCCAATGTGGGGCTCAAACCCATGAACCGTGAGATCGTGACCTGAGCCAAAGTCAGATGCCCAACCAACTGAGCAACCCAGGTACCCCTAAAAAATATTTTTTTCATGTTTATTTATTTTTGAGAGAGAAACAGAGCATGAGCAGGGGAGGGGTGGGGGTGAGGGACACAGAATCTGAAGCAGGCTCCTGGCTCTGAGCTGTCAGCACAGAGTCCGATGCAGTCAGTGCTCAAGACTGTTAGTTCTTGGGGCGCCTGGGTGGCTTAGTCGGTTAAGCGTCCGACTTTCGCTTAGGTCATGATCTCACGGTTCGTGGATTCGAGCCCCGCGTCGGGCTCTGTGCTGACTGCCGGCTCAGAGCCTGGAGCTTGTTTCAGTCTGTGACTCCCTCTCTCTCTGACCCTCCCCTGCTCACGCTGTCTCTCTCTCTCTCCTAGAAATAAATAAAACATTTAAAAAAAAAAAGAAAAAAGACTGGTAGTTCTCAACTACCAGGGACCCCATAGAACTGTCCTGATTTTTAAAATGTACAGGTTTTGGGGCACGTGAGTAGCTCAGTCAGTTGAGCATCAGACTTCAGCTCAGGTTATGAGCTCTGTCCCACTCTCTCTCTCTCTGCCCCTCCCCTCCTCATGCTCTCTCTCTCGCTCTGAAAAATAAATGAAACATTAAAAACAAACAAACAAACAAACAAACGTCAAGGTTTTGTGTTTGGGCCCCACTCCCAGAGATTCTCAACTACCTGGACAGGAGTGTGACCCCAAGGTTACTACTTTTCCAGTGCTCCCAAGGTGAGCGTTATAATAAAGATTATAATATTACAATAAAGTTCAGAAGAGCCCTTAGAGAAAAAAGACAATTGGTACACTTAGGGATAGGGGTTTGAAGTATAATCTATAGAAATATAAAGTTTTTAGGGGCGCCTGTTTTTTTAAAACATTAAAAAAAAAGAAATATAAAGTTTTTATAAGAAGCAAACATCTTTTAAAAACCTGCCTTGGGGTTATTACTTTAAGACTATAACTAAGAATATAAAATATACCATTATGTATGACATAAGTCAGATATTGATAAAGAGACCAATTATTTCCTTCCTTTGAAACTGATGAACACGGACGCCTGGGTGCCTCAGTCAGTTAAGCATCCGACTTTGGCTCAGGTCATGATCTCATGGTCCATGAGTTCAAGCCCCACATGGGGCTCTGTGCTGACAGCTCAGAGCCTAGAGCCTGCTTCAGATTCCATGTCTCCCTCTCTCTCTGCCCCTCCCCTGCTCATGCTCTCTCTCTGTCTCTCAAAAATAAATAAAAGTTTTTTAAAAATTAAAAAAAAAAGAAACTGATGAATAGCCATCTCAAAAATTTTAAACTGTCAATTCAAAAAATTTAAAAGGTTCTACATATAAACAGTTCTACCTTCATTCTTTTTTTTTTTTTTTTACTATTGTCACTGTCATCTGAACATTCGTGTACTTCTCTGATACTTAAAAAAAAAAAACCCAACTTGTTAATCCTCAATTTCTATTATCCATGATCAAGTATAGTCTTCACTAATACATATATGTGCTGACATTTTATTTTATTTTATTTTATTTATTTTTATTTTTTTTTTTATTTCTAGGGGGGAGAGAGAGAGAGAGACAGCATGAGCAGGGGAGGGTCAGAGAGAGGGAGATACAGACTCTGAAATAGGCTCCAGGCTCTGAGCTGGCAGTCAGCACAGAGCCCGACGCGGGGCTCGAACCCATGAACTGCGAGATCATGACCTAAGTGAAAGTCGGACGCTTAACCGACTAAGCCACCCAGGCGCCCCTATGTGCTGACATTTTAAACCCATCTTAATGGCATATGGTACCATAAAGATTAATGTAAATTTGTCTTCAAAAGGCAGTAAACTTCCTGAAATCTGGGATTCTACTATAGCTCTATTAGTTGACATCTTGTACACCTTTATGGATCTGATATTTAATATAACTCTGAGGCACTGCAAGCTTCTGTGGCACCATTTGAACAAGAAAAAGACTAAGTTATATTTAAGTATTAGGAAGGCCTTAATGTTTTTTATAAAGATTTTATTTTATTTTTTTAAATGTTTGTTTATTTTTGAGAGAGAGAGCGAGAGACAGAAAGCAAGCAGGGGAGGAGCAGAGAGAGAAGGAAACACAGAATCCAAAGCAGGCTCCAGGCTCTGGGCTGTCATCACAGAGTCTAACGTGGGGTTTGACCCCCCACTCCTAGTTTTTAACAGATAGGTAAATACAGACACAAATACAGAGGTTGAGTGTGTAAATATGCATGTATGGAATAGCCTAAAAATATTTCTTAGCTGGGTCCACAGAAAGGGCCCAGAAGCTATGATGCCCAGTTGCAAGGAGTACACCTTATAGCAAAATCTGTTTTTAAATACATTTCCTCTAAGAACTTGGAGAAATGGCTGACTTCACAGCTAGGCCAAGAAACAAGATGATCCCGGAACAATCTGTTGCTATAAAAAGGAAGTGCTCAGAGAATAACAGAGGTAGGTCAAAAGGATACTGGCCAAGTCTAGGACAATTTCAGCATCAAAATAAATAATACTAGTAATAAATTATAACCCTCTGAGAGAAACTGGAATGGGTAAGCCTGTATTTACAGAAAGAAAGAAAGGGAGGCAAGGCTTTACCCCACAGTATACTGTTGAAAAAATAAATCTAAAATAATAAAGCAATAATACAATTAATAATAATAATAAATGACACCATTTGGCAACCCTCATAAAACGGTGATTTGCACAAGAAACATCAATGCATGCTGCAACTGGTAGCTCAAAATGTAGTGGGAAACAGGTTATTTACATAGTCTCAAACTGCCCACAAAAGATGTATTAATTACTCATTAATTATCAAGTACAAAGTATCTGTCAACTTCACATTGGAAAACCTGGTAGCAGGATCTCAACCAAGAGATAAAAGGTTAACATCCCCAGTAACAAATCTGATTATCATTTGCCTTGTGATATGATGCACTGAGAAGAGGGTAGCACCATTTCTGTGGTATTCCTAGCAAAAATACATAAATTGTGAGGAATCATGAGAGAAATCCAAATTGAGGGACATTCTACAAAGGAACTACAAAGGCCTACACTCTTCAAAAATGTCAAGGTCATAGGGTGCCTGACTGGCTTGGTCAGTAGAGCATGCAACTCTTAATCTTAAAATCTGTAATTATAAGCCCCATATTGGGTGTAGCGATCACTTAAAATCTTAAAAAAAAATGTCAGGGTCATGAAAGATAAAAGGAACTGCTTATTTGAAGGAGACTAAAGAGACATGACAACTATATGAAATCCTAGATTGGATATTGGACCTATGAAGGACATTATTAGGATTAAAGGACATTTGAAGGATTAAGTGGATTGGATGGTAATAGTTAGATTACTGTTACATTCCTGATTTTGACAGCTGTGTGGTGGTTATGTAGGTGAGTGTCCTTGCACTTCAGAAATACATACTGTAGTATTAAGAGGTCATGGGGCACCATGTCTACAACTTATTCTCAAATGGTTTCAGAAGTGATCAGTTAGGGGCATCTGAGTGGCTTGTTGGTTAAGTGGCTGACTCTTGATTTTTGGCTCAGGTCATGATCTCATGGTTTGTGAGTTCGAGCCCTGTATCGGGCTCTGTGCTGACAGTGCGGAGCCTGCTTGGGATTCTCTCTCTTTCCTTCTCTGCCCCTTCCCCACTTGCGTTATGTCTGTCTCAAAATAAATAAATAAACTTAAAAAAAAAAAAGATCAGTTAGAGAACCTGGGTAAAGGATATATAGGAGCTTACGAAAAACATACGTGTAATTGAGACTCATTTCCAGGACACATGTGTAAAAGTTCATGGTCTCCTAGGTTCCACAGGGTCTCTATTGGCTCCTTTCCCCATGGAAAATTGTAGTAAAGTTTATTTCCTTTTCGTCCCTCTTCGTCCTGACAATCACTGCTGCTGAAGTTAGATGGACTCACGGCAAACTAGAAAAGAAGCTTGTTTTATTAACTTGTTAACATAAATGTTAAAAAGTAAAGTTGAGGGGCGCCTGGTAGCTCACTCGGTTAAGCGTCCAACTTCAGCTCAGGTCATCATCCCACAGTTCATGAGTTTTAGCCCTGCCTTGAGCTCTGTGCTGACAGCTCAGAGCCTGGAACTTGCTTCAGATTGTGTCTCCTTCTCTCCCTGTCCCTCTCCCACTCGTGCTCTGTCTCTCTCCGTCTCTCAAAAAAAAAAAAAAAAAAAAATTAAAATAAGTTGCAGGGCACCCGGGTGGCTCAGTAAGTTAAGTGTCCGACTTTTGATTTCTGCTCAGGTCGTGATCTCATGGTTTGTGTGGTTTTGAGCCCTGCGTTGGACTCTGCATTGACAGAGCACAGCCGGCTTGGGATTCTCTTAACCTCTCTCTCTGCTCCTCCCCTGTGCTCTCGCTCTCTCAAAATAAGTTAAAATAAACATTAAAAAAAAAAAAAAAAAAAAAAGTAAGGCTGCCTGAGACTTTAAAAAAAATTTTTTTTAATAGTTTATTTTTGAGACAGAGAGAGACAGAGCATGAGTAGGGGAGGGGCAGAGAGAGAGGGAGACATAGAATCCGAAACAGGCTCCAGGCGCTGAACTGTCAGCATAGAGCCTGATGTGGGGCTGGAACCCACGAACCATGAGATCTGACCTGAGCCGAAGTCGGACGCTTAACCGACTGAGCCACCCAGGCGCCCCTGCCTGAGACTTTTTATACAGCAACTGAATGAAAGTGATCAGATTCCAAATAAAAATGATGAGGTTTAATCTGAGTGACTATATTGCTAAAAATATTGTTTTTAGTTTGGAAGAACTACAGAAAAACTGTTGGTGCTATCTAACCTTTTTGTGGTCAGTTAGTAAGAGGGGAAGGTGACCATAAACTAAGTGGGATAAAGAAGAAAGTGTATATTCACCATTCTTATCCTCTATGAAGAGTGTGATTATTTGTAATTATTCCACTTAGTTTAGGGGGTATTTGGGATTTTAAGAATTGGAGAAAGATAAGACAATGGTGAGCCACAAATGCTTACTTCAAGTCTTTTCCCTTCAGCATGTACTAAAACTTAATTATAAATTACGGAACCATTTTGACAAATACAGAGTTCGTGGAGGCAGGATACAAAAGTTGAAGCTGTACGGGTGTGCAAGGGTCAAACTCTATAGCAGTCTGGAATGCCAGGTGAGGGATTTGAACAATGAAAATACTTATCAACAAAAGCTTCTGAGCAGAAGAGACATCAATAGGTATCTTGACCAATGTAACTTTTATATGGAACAATGAAAATCCTTACAAAGAAGTTTTTATTTGCATTCATCGACTTATTATAGCTGTCTCTTACAAGCATAACATAGCTGCATCAAGTAAAATGTTTTATTATAGAGAAATATTATCTTTGACATACTAAGACACTTCCCCTGTTAACTATTAAATTAACGGTACCTTTCTCCACCACAGGAGTCGATGGCGTAACCAGAAATCAAGCCACTGGCCTGCAGTTCTTGCTGAAGTAAACCAAACCAGTGAAGCCTCAGTCTTCTCACCGATTCTTTGGATATCAGAAATATCAGAGTTACTTACTTGGAAATTATATAATCTATCCCAAAGGGACAGTGACTGGTTCTTGACTACTTAAATACAAGGCCAAGTTATTTGTCATTTTTTTGTACCTTTTAATGCCACCAGGTGTCTGCTTAGCATCAGAAACAGGATGAAAACACACTCCAATCTGAGCAAGGCCATAAGGTAGCCTCCTGTTTACCAGATCCAGGCAATTAACATAGTGCTCCAAAGCACCTGTCAAAAGATAAATTCGTCATCGTACAAGTCTATTCTATACACCCGAATCATAAGGGTCAGTTTATAAACAAATAATATAATCTAATAATGCCAACATAGCAGTACAAGTAGCATGGAACTATTAAGGCAGATCTTAATTGATTACCACTTAGTTTTAGGTAGTTTCCCCACAACTTTTTGACTTTCAAATCAATAAGAAAGTAGATAGTACAATAAATATCTGTGAACTCTTCATATAGATTCACGTATTGTCTACATTCTGCCACATGTTTTCTTCTGGTTCACCCCAAAACATTTCAGCATGTGTCTCTTGGAATTATTTTCTATCATTATTGTATCATAAAGTTAATCATGATACCATAATTTCATCTAACATGTGGCTAATATTTTATTTTCTCTAATTGTCACCTAAAATGTCATTTATTGCTGTGGCTCCTGCTCTGCATTTTGACTAGTTCTCTTTAATCTCTTTTTTTTAAAAAAAAATTTAACGTTTATTTATTTTTGAGAGAGAGGAGAGACAGAGTTTGAGCAGGGGAGGGACAGAGAGAAAGACACACAATCTGAAGCAGGCACCTGGCTCTGAGCTGTCAGCACAGAGCCCGATGCAGGGCTCAAACTCACAAACTGTGAGATCATGACCTGAGCCAAAGTCGGATGCTTAACTGACTGAGCCACTCAGGTGCCCCTTTAATCTCTTAATACAGAACATTTCCCCTTACTCCACCCTCCTTCTCTAACTTTGCTTTTAATGGCATTGACTTTTAACTGGAGTCCAGGACAGTCATACTCAAGACCTGGCTAATTGTTTCATTAATTTGTGTAAACCATTTTTAACAGAAATAAATACTAAATAGTTAATGTGTAGGTCTTCTTGATTTTAACAGAAGGAACATAATCTCAACTTACTCTATATTAATGAAACCAAATTCGATTACCTGGTTAGGTAGTAAATATCCATTCCCCAACAATATCCTGCTCAATCAACTTCCATTCAACATTTTAGAATCCACTGATGATCCTGCTCAAATCATTATACTGGGGATAGCAAAATCAAAAGATGGTGTTTTCTGTCTTTCCTTCCCTATTTATTGCATAGCTTCTGTAAAAACATAAAGTTTCTCCACCCCTTTCCCCTACCACAGCCTCAACTATTTTTTTTTTTGTTTAACACTATAAATTTTTAATATGTTATAATCCATTACCATCAATGTAATATTCAGTTTGTCTCAAATTTAGCCAGTGGGATTCTCCTTCAAGCCATTATCTGTGTCCTTTTGACACAACCCTACTGGTCTTCAAGTAATTCTCTGCCTTCTAGCATCATAAAATGTGCCAAACTCACTTTGTACTTCCTCCATCCCAGACCTGGGATTAGCCATTTCTCCTTAGCACTAGTTCATTTTAAAAATCAGAGTTTGGGTACTAGTTGTGTTCTTTGCTATTGTCATTACTTCTAGGCCCTTTCACTGAAAAAAGAAATGTTTTTCAAAATTATGAGGTCATACTAGTATTAATATTGCTGATGCAAATTTAACATGCATAGTTTACCCTTGCCTTCTTTTATATTTGCATCTCTTTTTTCTTACAGTGAAAGTCTTGGTTCTTAATAAGCTTAATCTATCCATCTATTTGCTTTATAATCTAATATACATGAAATAGCTTCAGAATTATAATTCCAACATTTCTATTTGGAACAAGTCTAAATTCAAGAGTTCTTTGTGTTTGGTTCTTGCATTGAGATGATATCCCACTAAATGACAGCACTGTGTTCAAATTACTTGAGATTTCCACTTCTGACAATAGTACACTAGCCTGCTAATAAGAAAAGCTGGTCAAGAAACTTAAAAAAAAAAAAATGTTTCAAGACTATTAAGGCAGTAAGGACGTATGGGTCCAAAATATGGAGAGAAGGGAAGAGCAGAGAGGTGAACCCAACATTTATTGTTTCTTTTCTAACGCTCAAGTAGCAGAGCTGAGAAGCTGAAATGCTGAGCAGAACTTCCTGAGAAGTTACGCGACTGGAAAGTACAAAAATTGTAGTTCCTGGCTCCTGAAGGAGGAGCGGCCAAGGTAAACACTCCAGCCTTTCATGAGGGACATTCAAAGAGCTCAAGGGTAGGAGTAAAGATGAAAACACTGAAGACCAGCCTCCAATAAACTTGATCCTGAATCGTATCAAGAAGATATGCCCCCATGCTGTCTGCTAAAAGCAAAAGTAAATCCTCCCAGGAAGAAGAAAACACCACCCAGTACCTCAATTTATCTCTCCAATTCATACACAAATTAGAGACTATCAGGAGAAAAGTCCAATGACCAAAAGCCTGGAGAAAACAGACACCAGAAACGGATACATCTGAGTCATTAGACACAGACTTTAAACTGCGATTGTGTCCAAGAAAGCTGATAACAAGATGAGGGAAAGGTCTCACAGTGTAATTTGTCACAGAAGGGCAGAAGAAAGAGACAATAACAATATCTGGAAACATAAACATAAAAGACAGTAACAATATCTGGAAACAGAATGGCCGAGAATTTTTAAAAACTATTCAGTAGAGGCTACTAAAGTAGTCCAGACATGAAATAAAGAGAGCAAGGACTCTGGGAATAGAAAGTAGCAAACTGGGTAAGTCTAAGCTAAAAACACTAGTCATTTAAAGGATTCTGCAAAAAAGTGGTTTTAAGTTTCCTAAAGATCTGATACATCAATAGATGTTTTGATGAATGGACATCTAAGCGAGCTAAGTTTCATTTTCTAATAAGGAAGAACAGATTGACTTGTTTTGGACATCGTAACAAGTAGTGATTTAACTACCCCAGAATAAAGACATGATGGAATAATTAAAGTAGCACAAATCAGAACTGTCACAACCAGTTTGTTTTAGTTTATTTTATTAGGGAAATCTTTAAAAGGTTATATAATATGGGTACTAATTTTCAGAGAACCATGGACATTGGTTACTTTAAATTGCTTTATAGTGCCACTTAATTAAAATAGCAAAGATAGCAGTTCGCAAAGATGAGCAGCTGTGGCTGCAAGTCTGTCCCGTAAAGAACCGCTTTTTTTAAAAAATTTTTTCAGAATCTCTGCAGTCATGTTCTATTTGACTTTAAGGGCAAATCATGACCTACCAATTTCTGTGCGTTCTCTCAAGAATTACTTATAAAGCCTGATTAGTCCTTTTTTTTTTTCCCGACTCAAAAATCACTTAAGGGGCTCTTCAAACAACAGTGTAGGTCAGTTTTCAGTAAGAAAAATTGGTGGAGGGGGATTTTCATTTTGCTCTACAAAAATGAGCTTCTGATTAGTCTATTGTGTCTAATATTAAAGAAGAACTGTGTAAGTATTTACAAACATTTTAGTAACGTCGAACAAATGATTCACCGGATTTAATTTAGGCCCTAATTCTGGGGCTGCTCAACTGAACTCTAGGGTTGTCTAACGGACCAGTTTTCTCCATGGTAGAAACAGTCAATATACCCAACTACTTCAGAAGGATGAGAATCAGATAATTTCGTTCCCATGTGAATAAAGGGCCAGTTGCATTTCGCGAAATCTAGCAAGACTGCCTTTCCACCCCATCGATTTTGAAGCATGAAATCGTGAAGCATACCGTGAAGAAGGTTCTCCCGTAGTTTCCCAGAAGTTTTTAGTAAGTTCTCAAGAAATGCTACTAGCTGTTCCTTACTCAGCTCTTTGTCTTGTAAGATTTCGCGTAGAGTTTCTGCTGAAACTAACCTGAAGGCACTGTCCCCGGGCAGCGACGGGCCTGGCTCATGGTGGAGGGCGTCTACCGGGAAGACCTGCTCCCTTAACACCACCACCGAGGACCACCATTCTGCCGCCAGGTTCTTCCGCAACTCTATCCCCAAGGGGCCAAAACCACGGTGGCACCCGCTCAGAAGAGAATGTCGGCTAAGCTGCCGCCTGCTGCCACTGAAGAAATGCCTTCTCTGACAGATCTCTAGCAGCTCCTCGATCCCCTCACCGGACTCGGGGACTTCGGTCGGTTCGCTTCCCCGGGGCAGCTCTGCGTGCAATCTCACGGGCACTCCGAAGGAGCTACTCCCTTCCGTCAAAGGCTCAGGCTGCCCCCCATCTACTCGACCTCCAAACCCAGACAACAGGCACCTGCAGACTTTCTGACAGGCCCTGACTGCTGCACCAGAACGCATCGCCCACGGAAGTTAAACAGCAGTTTCTTACTAGCCGGCTGGTCCCAGCAAACCGCCATAAACGTGAGCCAGGGAGCCCAACTGCGCGGGCGCGACGGAAGTGCGCGCGAGCGTGGCTGGCCACGCCCACGGAAGCGCGTCACAGCGTCCCGGCGGCAGCCTCCGCTGGCCTACCCGCGTAGCTATGGCCGGCGCAGACCTTGTACCGTACCGTTTCTCGTCTGAACCGAGCGTGGCCCCTCTTGTTTTTATCCGTCATTAGCACAGATAAGGGCCATTCTCGTCTACTTTTAACTATCGTGCTGTAGCAATTCAGCTTTGCTTCTCAAGTTTTTTGCAAATCACATAAAAAAAAAACTTAGGTGTTCGCCAAATCGCCATTTAAATACACCTTTTCACCTTATGCCTTCGCGTAAACCGGTTGACTAGGTCATGGTCCTTTATGGTGGCTTAGAGACCCAGGCCTTTGTTGTAACTCCTTGTAAATGCTGCTGCCTTGGTACCTACCTACCCCCAGAAAGTTCTCTGCTCTCGGGGGTTGGGGTTGCGTGACCGCAAAGGGGTACTACCCCTTCACATGTTGGGCAGAAGGGAGTCCTAGGTCAGCAGTGCCTGCACCCCCTGGGTTTTTTGGAAACGGAGAGGCCCTGCGACCTTTTAAACAAAGGCTCCAGTTGAATGTGAAGGCACACTGATAACCACTGCGTGTAGAGGCAAGTTTTGGTCCATCAAATAAGAGTATGTGATTACTTCTTTTAAGACCGGTCCAGGATTACCTAGCAGCCACTTGTGACCACAATTTTCATTTCCGCATTGCCAAAATAGTGGAAATGTGCCACTGCCCACTGAGGAAAATCGTTGCTTTCAAAAGCCCACAACTACTGCTTGTAGCTTCCCTTAAAGCAGTTAGGGTAACCTTTAAAGATTAATCTGGGTTAAGAGAGAAACAAGCTCCTAGATTCCACTATACTACACCAAAGGGCAGTTTGTGAAAGGAGGGTACGACGACTTGGCCGTTGAATTAACCGAACAACAGTTAAAATTTATCAAAAGCTCAGAATATCATTCCATACAAGCACATGCACATTAAAGACTGTACTGCTTGTCATTCTATTACATTACAAGAATTGCAAAGCTGGGCTCTATGAACGTGTTTTCCATTCAGGAAACACACCAGGGAAAAGGCCTATACACAAATAAAAAAAGCGAGAATGGGGAGAAAAATCACATTTATTAGTTCAGACAACCACAGGCTGGACACAACACACATGCTAAAAAGTGGACTGTCTTAAAACTTACTTCAAAGGTAAATAGGTAAATGTTTTCCACAGTCCCACAATCATTTCAATAAATGTTTACAAATTAAAAGGCCGTTAGACATTAAACAGTAAAATATGTAATAAATACTCCAACCTACCCCAAAAGCTTAAGTTAAAAGTCATAATGAATTTGACTAACCATGCTATTGAAAACTGTTCAGTTACTGGAGAAGCGAATCAGTTTTCAATGTATTAGTCCTAAAAATACCAATCCCCATCCCCCACCCCAAGCAAATTCTAGTTTTTACATTTTAGAGATAAGGCATTGACACCAATTAAAGCCTGTTTAATAATCAAAATTTAAATGAAGTCTCATTAAGACCTCTCCTCTCCTGACAAAAAGGAACAAATACCGAGACTGTCTGGGAAGACATTCAGACCTATTTCTAGTCATATTGAAATTAAAAAAGTCGGTGAGCCAAAATTAAATCTAAAACCACCGCCCCTCCTCCCCTGACCTTCCTAGCAATAAAAACCCATTGTCGACCGTTAACAAGAGGATTTGTACAATAGTCACTGACTGTGCTTTTGGTTATGTTGCCTCCTCTTAGTAACTATTAACTTCAACAGGATTTTTGTTTGAAGATGAATAGATCCTCTAGTTTGAAGTCCTTTAGAATTCCCTGAATTATTGGAAAGCTATTCAGGATTCCCCGTGTAACTAGTTAAGAGCCCCAAGAGCCTGAAAACTACAGTCTATATAAACTGAAACTTAGCTCTTAGCCAAACGTCTTAAAAGGTGTAAAGTCTTCTTTGTTCACCGCTTCAATTAACTCACAGTATAGCCAAGAGCAAGAAGGGACTTCTGAAAAAGCAAGTTACTCAGAACTTTTCAAACGATAAAGTTTTGCAAAAGAATGAAGTCCTCCATGTTGCTCTCATATGAAGCACTTTGAAGGGGGGGGCTACACAGTTGGTTATTTTATATTTTAATCTCACTACCGTTCTGCTAACAAGCTATTAAATGACTCACCTGATGAGGTACTTACAGAAAGCCTTTATGCAATTTTGCCTAGAATTATGAATTTAAACTCCTTTTATTTCTTACAGTATAAATAGATCATTTTAAGGAAGGCCTTCTGATCTCCCCACTTCCCAAACTTAAAATTATGGAAAGGAGCAGTCAATTTAGTTATGGTTAAAAAAACAGACCATCTAAAAGCAGTTTTACAGGACATTAGATACGTAAAATAAAGTACAATTTCCACTTAATTCAGTCTTCAAATAGTTTTTATTGGAAGGCCATGCGTTGCCTTCATTTATTGTATTTCAAATCACTGTACATTTACTTTTGTGAAAACACTGCCTGCATTTTCTAGTACAAAAAAAACCTAAAAATTGTTTCAGGAATGTAGAGAAATATCCAACTTAAATAGCGAAAAAGTGCACCATAATTACTGCTGCACTGCAGTCATTTCTGCATTTCCCAGGTTTCTTAAATAACTATCTTGTTTGATAACACACAATATAAAGAGCAATTATGAAAAACAGACATTTACATATACTTCTAAAGTCTTATTGAGAATACCCTGTTGGCATTGGGTAACCAATCATAGGTGCAGCTGCAGTAGCAGGATATGCATATGCCTGTTGGTTCATACCATTGTGCATATTTGGAACATTACTTCCATATTGCTGAGTGCTATCATAACCGTTCTGGTAAGTCCCTGTTGGATTACCAGTCCTAAAACTGGTCTGTATACCAGCAGACACAAAATTACTTCCAAAGCTCCCATTGGTGTAATTTGCAGCACTGTAAACACCATTCTGAGTTTTTGCCCCAAAATCTCTCTTAAGCAGACTAGAGTAACCTCTGTCATAATTTTCCCTGTCTCTAAAGGTATTAAATCCACCCCTTTTGCCCGCAGAATATCTGTCCCGACGGTCATCCTTCATGCCTCCTCTACCCCTGGAACGACCTGTCAAGAAAAAAAATAATTGCGAGCTGATTATTTCCATGACACAAATCATTACTAACACACAAGGAATTACGTAGCAGGTAGCTCTATTCACTCTACACGCGAAATGTTTCTCAGTTTCATATCTAAGATTTTACTCACCCGCCAATCCCATTTAAATGGATTTGTAGACCATCATGTGACCCCAAATCACCAACATTTCTTAATGAAGGCAGGTCTTACCTGAACCTCTGTCTTCGACCAACTGAAGCAACTTGGGATTAATTGCTTGATTTGCTTCACGAAGCACAGAGATAAGGTCGCTCACTTGCTTTATGTTATTAGGTGTAAAGAAAGTGTATGCTGTGCCTGTTTTGGTACTGCGAGCAGTTCTTCCAATTCGATGAATATAATCCTCTGAGGAGTTAGGGTAGTCATAATTGATGACAAATTTCACATCTTCCACATCTGTAAGGTGTTGCAGTGTGGCAAAATAGCAATGTACGGAGTTTTGCACACCACAACAGCCAGACCAAAAATAAAAAGTTAGACAATTGTACTCCCAAGAAGGTACGGGCTGCAAAAAATACAGTTAAAATGGTTATCCATTCCCTGTAGGAATACCATTGAAGTTGGAGAAGGGGAAAAAAAAAAAAAAGCACACACCATCTACCTGGATGTCTCATTACCCACCCAAGGATAGAGAGCCTGTCAATAGGATGTGTATTCTCTAACACAGTCCCAAACCAGCAAGTCCCCTTACAGATCATCAAGTGACATCTGAATGCTTCTGCGCAGTAGGGCCACTTAAAGGTTCACAGCAACCTCTTCATGTGTTCATTTTGAGGACCTTTAAACAAAAATGTACATGGTCCTTTGCATCACACACTCATCAGAAGTTCAAAATTCTGGCCACACTGCTTGTCTTGCCAAGACCTTACAACCGCAGCTGCAAGAAAAACATACCTGTCCCCCAAAAGTTGTTTTTATGCACTGTGTCTCGTCTAGGCAAGCGCTTCCAAGAAGCCAGGATTCACTTGAGAATGTGTCTCTCTCTGGCAGGTCTCGACATGACGACTACTGTGTAGGTGAGGGAGGAACTTTGAAAGCACTGCTTTCTTTTCCCACTGACTAAGTGTGAGAAGTTGCTCCTGCTCTAGATCTCATGTGCCAGTACTCACCAATTTGTAAAAGGCTTAGTACCTTTTAAAGCTGCTCTCTCCATTTCAAACTTGAACAAAAATTTCATTGAACATTGAAGTTTGGAAATAGTTCTTCAACATTTCAGCAAACTCACTGAAACTCAAAGACCCACAGATCACAGTCAACAGTTTGAAACAATGCTGTACCATGGCAGTCATGCAAAGCATGGGACAGAAGAAATACCACGGCAGTGAACTGTGAGGGTAACTTCCATTTTTTTCCCCCGGAGAGAACAGTTTACGGGGCAGAGGTGGTATGTTCTGCCTTTTGAAGATTACTGGCACACTTTCAGCTTTTCACCTCTCTAATCGACTGGAAGCAGCCAGCCGATCACTAGTCCTCCATCCCCCTCGAGTCCTCCGATTGTCATGCCTAGGCCTTGCCACAAAGACTGCACCTTTATATGAAAAAAACTTAGAAAAAATGCAGAGGTTAAAGAAAGCAATAAACTTTCTTTAAAAAAAATTATATGGAGATCTTCTGGGAAACCAAGCCATGAATTCGAGTTTTTACTAACCTAGCCCTCTGGAGGCCACATCTGTAGCAATCAGAATAGGAGCTTTTCCATGTTTGAATTCTGTAAAAGAGAAAACTATCTTCAATAACCTGAGAATTACAGGCTTTGAGAAAAAAATTTTCTTTTCATTTGACTT